ATGTGTCGTTCGTTTCTCGTAATTGATCCGTTAATTGTCTACGTGTTGTCGTTAATTGCGTTGTAAAGTGTCTAAGCATGGTTTCGGGTTCCACAACGGTTCCCGGGGCGAAAAGTGATGAAAAGAGTCAGTGGGGGGTAGGTGGGGTAGGGGACCCGCCACCTACCCGCGGCGTTCACGGGCAGCTCCGGCAGCGGGCAGCCGGCGGGCGGCAGCTGCCCGCCGGGCACCCGCTGCCCGGAACAGCGTTACCGGCGGGCAGCCGGCGGGTGGACCCCCCACCCACCGGCTACCCGCTGGAATCTTCCCCCCCTCGGGACCCCGGCTTCCCCGTTTGATGTTTCCCCGATCCCTGTGGTGTCCCAACGGACCCCGTTTGTCGTGCCTATGTCTAGTTTGATATTTCGGGTACCGTCCGTAGGTTTATGAGTCTATTATATTGCATGCTAGTTGAATTGGTATCCCGTTGACCTAGGTGGAAGAAGTATGAACCCCTTAGGACTATTCTTAGTACGTGATGGATCACGCATAAGGTTGTTATACGCTTTATCCCCCTTCCCAATGTGTAATGTGGGTTGCATGTGCTTGCTATGTGTTATGTGTGCGTGTTACCCCAATTCGGTTGCGATCGGATTGGTTATCCTGAGCTGCGGTTCAGAAGCCGGCTATGGTCAGATGGGAATTCCTGGCTGTAGTCGGATGACGGTATCCTGGGCTGCGGTCCAGAAGCTGGTTGTAGTCAGATGGGAATTCCTGGCTGCAATCAGGTGACATCTTTCCTGAGCTGCGGTTCAGAGGCTGGCTGTAGTCAGATGGGAATTCCTGGCTACAGTCAGATGACATAATCTCTTGGGCTGCGGTCCACTGTTTGGTTGCGATCAAACATTATGATGAGCTGCGGTTCATCGGTCGGTTGCGATCGGCCTCCCCGTGTTGCGATACGGGGCATGGTGCTGTGGGGCCGTGTCAGTGCTATATGCGCTGACCCGCATGTATGGGCATGCGAGTGGTCCTGTGGCGCCAACAACGTGCGTTATGTGTTGTGATATGGACGAGTTGTGATTATGAGTGTCTTGGGGAATGTGACTATGGGATTTATATTGGGGATTATTCATGTTGGGTTATGATCACTGTTTATGCTTTGCCTTATTTGCCTTATCTGTTATGAACTGCTTATGACTGTTATAACTGTTGCTTGTGTCTGGCCTTATCTGTCGAGTCATTCCCGGTTTTAAAGCTAGAGTTCGTAGGATATATCTTCATGCTCAAAATGGTTTTCGTATATCTATATATATCTCTATATGTATTGTATTTCAACGCGTTGGAGTGGGTTACCAGCATCTCTCGCTGAACAGATATATTTGGCTTTCAGGCACAGAGGATTAGAGCACTGGAGCGCGCTAGAACTGGAGCGTAGAAGTAGTATAGTTTCCCTTTCGGCCTGCGTGCCATATTATGCATTTATATTTCAGAGGATAGTAGTTAGACAGCCTGTGCACCTGGGTTCTCTAGCCCAGGTGTGGCATAGCACCCCATACACTTATGTTACGTTTTGGGATTTAATGAGATGTTACCTTTATTATTAAGTTTTAAATGTCTTGAAAATCAGGGGTGTTACACCTCCACCCGTGGTTCCACCCGCGGGTACCATACCCACGAGTGGTGTACCCCGCGGGTGGGGCAGCGGGTAGGCCACTGCCCGTCGTTCCGCCCGCGGGTACCAACCTGTACCAAAAATAATCCCTTCGGGGATTTTCAACACCAAGTCCAAATTCAAGTCCAAAACACCCAAAATCTCACAAAATACAATAATATGACTTGGATCAAAGAAATTGCCAAGCAGTGGCATACAAGAACCCTGATAACAAGCTCAAGATATGCATTCTCACAAGACAATGCATCAAATCTCACATTTCATAGAAAAAATCACAAGTAGAAGTCAAGAAATTATCATATAGGTAAGAAAATAGATTTTGTAAAGCATGGGTTACCTCTTGTAGCCTAAACCTTCACTTATCACACCATTACAAGCTTCTCCTAAAGCTCTCCTTCAACTTCAACTTCAAGAACACACCAAAAGACAACAAAGATTCTATCTTTTAGAAAAGACACCTAAAAAGGTATTAAAAACTCTAAGGGACCAAGGATCTTACCATCCCCTATGCTCAAGGTTAAGAAAGTTTGAATCTTGGAGATCAACTTGAAGGATCTAGGATTGCTCAAAACTCGGCTTGAAGAAGAAGCTAACAATTTTCTAAAGAGAAGGTGGAGCTTTTGTGTTTAGGTTGTTAGGGAAATGAAATGAAGGATGACTCTAGGTTAGCTTGGGACACAAACATAAGGTGAAAAGACTTCTTTGCCCTTACTAAAGTGGGAAGAGTATGGAGACAATGGAACAATTCATAAAGCATAGAGTACAACCCTTTGACTTGGATTGACTAGTCAATTTCTAGACCTCCGACTATTGAATTTTCAGGATTTTAGGAATAAATTACCAATTAAGCTAGGATTAATTATCTAATTAATCCATAAATATATTTTGGATTTACATGGTGTCACATCCTTTCCCCCTTAAAATAAGCTTCGTCCCCGAAGCTTGGGTTCGACGAAATCAAACAAAACGGCAACATGAAACAACAATGTGACAAGAGAATCAAAAACATCTTTTGACCAAAACTTCAAGGCCAAAACCATCTAAAAAACACTAGAGCTCTAAAAAACTAGATTCTAGTAAAACAACCCACAAAACTAACTACCACCACACAACTACAAACAACGAAGATAACACAAGGCAAACAACAAAACAACTAGCAAGCGGCTACAACATAACGATAACCACAAACGAGGGAAGGAAAACGAGATTACCACAACTCCGGACTAGAAAGACTCGCTCTCCGACTCAACGGTGTCCTCATCTGAATCTTCATCAGCTCTCCCTCAGCTAGAACTGGCCTCCAGCTGATCCAACCTCTGGTTGACCGCGACGAACTTCGTCTTCATGTAGGCGAAGCCTTCATCTATCATTCTGTTCTGTTGGCGAAGAAGGGTGACCACACGCTCCTCGTGAGTCATGGCGTCGTGTTCCCTCTTGGTTCTGGCTTCCTTCCTTCTTAGGTTTTCCTCGCACTACGAGTCGCTCTCCTCGACTTCAGCAGCTTCTCCTACATCCGCATCCTTCTCCCAAGCTCCAAACTGCAAGGTACAACTTCCCAACGGGAATCTCAAGCTCAGCAACCAACGCGTCTCTCTCATCAAGGGTTTCCCTGGCAACTTCCTCAAGCGTGATGTACTCTCCATCATCAATCTGAAACGTATTGAAATTCCACAGGTTGGTGGCATCCAACACCATTTTGCCCACTGGCTTTGGCACACAACCTTCAACACTTATACCTTTCCTGACGAAGATCCAGCTCAAAACCATTCCATACGGCAGACTCTTTCGGTTATGATCCTGGCAAAAGACCATATGTTGCAACATTAAGGCAGGCAGGTTAAACTTCACCGTATTCTTTAAGCAAAAGGCAAAAGTGCACTCTAACTTTCCCAACAGACGGCTCTTGTTGTTATTAGGCAGCAGACAATCCGATACAAGCATAACCAAGATTCTCTATTCAGCAGTCAACCATTTCCTTTCCGGTCTCGTGGCTTGGGTAAAACAACTAGTCCGACCCAACAGATAACTCAAGTAGTCTCGATACCCCATGGTATCCGTCCCAAACCAGGAGTTACCACTGTGCTGCGAAACTCCCATAGTGGTCAGGCTCAAGAGCTGAGCTAGCCACTTCTCTGACAAAACAACCTTCACACCTCTCACCTTAGAGGTAACCTCTAACTTTCCACCATCTTTAGTCACAACCATGTGACGGTAGAATTCCTTCACCAGACTCGGGTAAGTCTCGGCCCTAATGGCGAGAAACCCATCCAACAAACCTTGATATCTCAACATCTCTAACAAGGAACTTGAAAAAGAATCAGGAGCAAAGGCTTTACCTTCCAACACGAGGTAGTAGGCATCCACCCATTCCACTCTTCTTGTCAAGTTAAACCTCCTGGGCATGATTCTGAGATGACCCAAAAACTCAAAGGAAAACCCAAAGTTCTTCTCTTCTTTTCTTCTTCTCCCCTTCTCTCTCTCTCTCTCGCTGTTTCTCGGTGACACCGCAGCAGACACGGCGGCGGTGGCAGTGGTCAGCTTCGGTCGGTGGCGATGGCGGTCAGCTTCGCACGGCGGTTGGTCGGCGTCGGCGGGGGTGGCGACGGGCAGGGGCGGCGACGGGGGTTGGGTGCTGCTCAGGGGGTTTACAGAAAGAAGGGGAAAGGGTTTGGGAATTTTGGGAAAATTGGGAAAGAGAAGGATTTAATTTGGGGATTTTTGGTTAAAATGAGAAATTATAGGTTAAATGGAATTTAAATGGAGTAAAGTTTAAGAAACATAACTAGTTCAAGTGGTTTAAGGGTTAGAGTGGTAACTTTTATACTCGGGTTTGAAACTTGGTGGTTACAAATTGAAATTTCCTTGGGCTTTTTAGGCTACACAAGAATGAATTTCTATGGGTTGTCTATTATAAATTCGAGGGGTACTTAATCAAACTTAGATGTCCCAAAAGAAAATGGTCGAGTTAAAAGAGAACATATGCAAGTCTACAGAATTAACATAAGTACGACCCACTTAGAGATAGGCAATTAGCATTACGAAAGAATCTCACTTAAAACCAAAAGAATCACACAATAAGGAAGCAAGAAAACCAAGAAAAGGCAACAAGGAAAAAGATACACTCTCATGATAAGGATAGGCTTAGGAAAGGGTTACCTGCCATCTCATCCTCAACCAACCCCTCTGTCTCAGCCTGGGATCGTCTCATCACAAACACCCGACCCGAAGGTCTAGCTCCAACTGCTCCTCGACTTGAACTCCCTCCCGATGCTCCCCCGGGTCCTGAACTAGGTGGCAACGCCCTTTGGTTAGCTTGTAGAGGACATACGGCAGCCTTATATCCTCTCTACCCGCATTTGTAGCATCGAAGAGATTGTCCTTGGCAATCTTTTCCCACATGCTCCTTTCCACACTTTCGGCATGCGAACGTCTTTGCTCGATCTCCGGACTCCACTTGGGTTGATCCTTGAGGTGGGGAAGGTGCGGTCTTGGCTCGGAAGTCCTGTCTTGGCTTCTTGAAGTTGGAAGATCCACCGCTTTCATTCCTCTTCTTAGCAAGCTCAAACGATCCCCGCTGCAACTGTTGTACCCGGTATAAGTCAGCAGCACTCAAGTAAGCCTCCTTCAAGGTCCTCGGCTTGCTCACGGTCAAAGCCTTACGAGCCTCGTAGTTGAATCCGGCCACGAACTTTTCAACTTTCGCGAGCTCAGTGGGGACTAGCATCCTAGCGAAACGAGCGAGCTTCAAAAACCTCTTTTGGTACTCCACCACAGACGATGAACCCTGCTGGCGGTGTAAAAACTCCTCGTACATAGCAGCTCGGACATGTGCCGGGTAGAACCGCTCTCGCATCCAGTCCATCAAAGCTGTCCAGTCGAAGTCGGGCTCCTCTAGGCATGCGGGTCCCTCGTGCACCCACCACAAGTCAGCTTCATGACTGAAGTAGAAGGATGCTAACTCCACTCGGCGCTCCTCGGGGCACCCAACAACGGAGAAGATCTTGTAGAAGGTTCGTACCCACTCCTCGAGCACGACGGGGTCTTCCTCACCGGCAAACATCGGTGGTCTATGGCCAGAGGCGAGACGTCCCACATCTCTATACCCGGCAGGCTGCGGCGGTGGAGCAGGATGATTGTTATGCAGCAGAGCTTCACTTAGGGTTTGCATAGTCTGAGTGAGCTGTTGCAGGTTCTGGGCTAGCTGCTCATTGGTTGGTGTCTCCGGCGTACGAGCGCGTTGACAAGGTGGTGCCATGACAAAGCTTCTACAACAACAACACCATTATGATAGGCACAAACAACATCGCACCCTTACCTGGCACTAACTAAAGGAACATGAAACTAAACAGAAACAACAAGTAAGCAAAACAAACTATAAGCAACACATAGCTCACCACGCGTCCTAAAAGTCCTAAGTCCTAAACACTTAGATACTTAAGGTCACATTAGGGTCTCAAACCGCACTTAACTTCTTAAAAGTCTAGACTCTAACATCCTAGGCTCAAACCTAGGCTCTGATACCAACTGTAACACCCCCGATTTTCATGACAATTTTAAAACTTAAATACGTAAGGCAAAGCAACTAACAGGTATCATAAAACGTAAGCAACAGCGGAAGTCTTAAATTAAAACGGGGAAAAAGCAGGGAGTGGTATGCCACATCCACCTCAATGTGGATGCACAGGCAAGTCTAACACCAACAATCTATCATGTTTAACATAACCATGGCACACAGGCCCAAAACACTATCTACATAGACAAGGGAGCAAAACTACAACCAACAGCTAACGCGCTCGCCAAATCTACTCAGGACCTGTAAAGCACATAAAGAAAGGGAACGACGCCCGATCAGCGAATATTGCTGGTAACCCATCAATACGCGTTAAGTAGCATATATAGATAGTATAATACAAAATAATTTTCAAAATGGACTACAGTATATATCAGTTCAAAAGTCATAGAGAGAAGTAAACTGCAAATACTCTAATTCACTCTCAAAAGATCAGGGGAAATCAACATCCCAAGACAACATCAATGTGACACCCCGAAATCCAAATTCGTTTAAGAGATTAATTAAGTAATTAATCCTATTTCAATTTGTAATTTAATTCCTTAAATTCCTGAAATTTAATAGTTGGGGACTAGTAATTGACTAGTCAACCCCAAAGTCAAAGTTGTACATTGAGCTTTGTAAGGAGTTCCCTTGTTCCTTACACTTCCTTATGTTAGTAAGGGTATTCTTGACCTTTCACTTGTTGTTGGTATTGTAACCTAACCTAGTAGACCACCTTCATTCTCTCCTTACACTTTTCTAAAAATCTAGCTCCACCCTCTCTCTAAAAGGTGAGTAGCTTTTCTTCCAAGCCAAGATGGAACCTTGCCAAAACTTCAAGAGTTGCTTCCATGATTCAACCTTTCTTATATTTGGGCATCTAGGAGGGTAAGATCTAAGTTCATCTTGTGTTTTTGGTTTTATCTAAGGTGTCTTTTCTTAAAGATAGAATCTTTATGATCTTTTGGTATGTTCTTGAAGTGGGTTTGGAAGGTGAGCCTTGTGAGGAGCTTGTTGAGGTGTAGAGTGAAGTTTTTAGTCTACAAGAGGTAGCCCATGCTCTTACTTATATGTGATTTGTTGGATTCTACATGTGTTTTGCTATGAAATGTGAGTGTTTATGCATTGTCTTGTGAAAATGCATATCTAGAGCTTGTGTTTAGGGTTCATTTGTGCCATTGCTTAGCATTTCCTTTGATTCAAGTCATTTTGTTGTATTGGGTGAGATTTGGCATGTTTTGGACTTGAATTTGAGTTTGGAGATGAAAATCCGCGAAGTGTTGTATTGTGGTATAGGGATGTACCCGCGGGCGGAACGGCGGGTAGGGGTCCAACCCAGTGGGGAGGACCACGGGTAGAGGCCTACCCATGGGCCCACCCGCGGGTACACTATGTTGGTTGTTGGGGGATTTGTTCCCCGTGATTCTTTTGACTCGGTATTTGGTCTTTGGACTTCCCGTTGTTCTTTTGTGGAACTATTTGAGTGTCTTCTTGATGTTTCGTATGTGTAGAACTATATGGTAGGAATCCATGTAGGTTTTGGTATCGTGAATCGTGCTAATTGTTCGACATTGTGTTTCGTTGAACCGTGACGAGTCCTGTGTGTTCTTCGGAACTATGTTTGTTTCACCCGTTTGATAAGCATGCTAGTTCGGTGTTTAAATGCTAGCATGTGTGTTGCTTGTACCTTCCGTTGGTTGATGATAACTTGTGTTATTCATCGTTGTTGTTGTTGGACTGTGATACATCCCTGATTGAGTATGGTTTCATATCTTCGTTGTGATCCGTTGATTGATTCCTGTTGTGGTGTTATGTTTGTGTGGCTTTACCTGGATTGCACGATTAGTGGTATGGGACACTAGTCACCAAGGTATTGCAGCGGTCCTCGTGGTGGCCGTGACGCGATTATGGAGTTGTGACCTTTGTGTAAGGTTCACGTGATTCTTGGGAGGCATGTGTTGCCGTGTGTGTGTACGATACCCTCGTGTACTATGAAATCGGTGTTTTTGTTAGAGGGAATGTTGGAGGGGGAATGACGGTTCCCGGGGGAATAAGGTTGGACTTGGTGTACAGGGGTCCTGGAGGTAAAGGTTGGAACTAGATATAAGGTTGGGGGTAGCAATAAGGTTGGAACCGGGCATAAGAAAGGCATATCAACTCGTGATGAGTGATGTCACGAGGGTTTGTGTAGCCGTGGTTGTGTGTTCTCTTCTTGTGACGTGTGTAGTCACAAAGGCATGTGTTGCCTAGGCATGTGTTGCCGTTGGTCTTATCTTTATCCTTTTGAGTTGTTGTTATCCTTTGTGGTCTTGGGATGTGTTCCCGTGTTGTTGTTGAGAGTGGTGAGTCTTGTGTTGACTATTACTCTTGATTTTGTACTTATATATATGTATTCCGTTTTGAAAATGGCTTTACAAGTTATATCTTACTTATGTATGTTATTTCACATGTATTGGTGGGTTACCAGCATTATTCGCTGACCGGGCGTCGTCCCATGTTTTATTGTGTTCTTTCAGGTGATGTCTAGATGTGTGCGTGGTCTAGTGCTTGCTAGAGTAGCTTCTCCCTCTTGTTTTGTGGCCTGTGTGCCAGTTTAGTTGTAGCTCTGTTGAGACTATGGATTAGATGTAAACATTGCAGATGTTGCCATAGCGTTCATCCTCTTGGTGAACGTGGCATAACACCCCGTGATTTGGATTATGTTTATCTAGTTATCTTTCAGTCTTCCGCTGTGTCTGTTGTTTAGTTCTGTTATATGCATGTTTAAGGCTTTTAAATAGCTTGTTTTTAGGGGGTGTTACAGTTGGTATCAGAGCCTAGGTTTGAGCCTAGGAAGGAGTTAAGTCTAGACTTACTAAGTGGCTAAGTGTGGTTTGAGACCTTTAAGCGACCATAGGAATCTAAGTGTTAGGCTTAGGACTCTAGGTTGCGCGGTGAGTTGAGTGTTGCTTCCTGTTCTTTCCTTGTTTTCTATCTTTTGGTAACCGTGTTGTTGTTGTAGAATTTTGCGATGCCTCCTCGTCCCCGAGCTCGCACCCCGGAGACCCCAACAAACGAGCAGCTCGCTCAGAACCTCCACCAGCTGACGCAGACGATGCAGACGCTCAGTGAAGCCTTGCTGAACAACAACCTCCCTGTGCCGCCTCCTCAACCTGCTGGGCACCGCGATATAGGTCGCTTGGTGTTGGGTCATCGGCCGTCCACCTTTGCGGGTGAAGAATACCCGGTAGTTTTGGAAGAATGGATGAGGGTGTTCGACAATATCTTCGCAGTTGTGGGTTGCCCCAAAGAGAGAAGAGTAGAACTGGCAACATTCTACTTCTCCCAAGAAGCTGATCTGCGGTGGGTCCATGAGGGTCCGACCTTCCTTGAAGAGCCTGAGTTTGGTTGGTCCGCGCTTAAGGATAGGATGCGCGAGAGGTTTTACCCAGCGCATGTGCGAGCCGCCATGTTTGATGAGTTCCTTCACCTGCAGCAAGGATCCCTGTCTGTGGTCGAGTACCACAAGAAGATTTTGGAGTTGGCGCGCTTTGCTCGGATGCTTGTGCCTACGGATAGGGGTGTTCAATCGGTTAACCGTTCGGTTAACCGAACCGTTTTAACCGAACCGAATTAACCGAAGTTTTTTTTTTCTTTAACCATTAACCGAACCGAAGTTTGCTCTACCGAATTCACCGAACCGAAATTTTTTTTCGGTTAACCGATTAACCGAACTTTTTAAAGTTAAAATTTAAAATTCTAAAAATAACACCTAAAATAATAAATTCAATTAAAATAAAATACATATCATAATAAATTCATAAAAAAATATAAAAAACATGAATTATAATCTCCAAACATCCATAACTTCAAATTAGTATTTATATTTATATTATTATTTATATATTAATTAAAAACTTCGGTTAACCGTTCGGTTAATTCGGTTAACCGACCTTTCGAACCGAATTAACCGTTAACCGAAGTTTTAAAATTCCTTTAACCATTAACCGAACCGAAAAAGTTCGGTTCGAAAACGGTTAACCGAACTTTGTCGGTTCGGTCGGTTAACCGAAAATTATCCGAAGTTTGCACACCCCTACCTACGGAGCTTGCTAAGGTTGAGAGATTCGTTGCCGGTTTGAATTATGAGGCACGAAAAGCGTTGACGGTGAGTAGGCCAAGTTCCCTTAAGGATGCGTATCTGAGTGCCGCGGATCTGTATTGCGTTCAGCAGCTTCAGAAAGGATCTTATGAGCTAGCTATGAAGAGGGTTGAGAGCGGAGGTTCTTCCACCTTTAAGAAGCCACGACCCGGTTTTGAAGCCAAGAACGTGTCATCCTCATCTCAAGGACCTAACCGGATGGAGCAAGGGAATCAAGTCAAGACACCTCCTTGTCATAGGTGTGGGAAGATGCATGCCGGTCATAGTTGCAACGGCTACGCGCTACGGTGTTTTCGTTGTGGAGATCATGGTCACAAGGTCGCGGAGTGTCCACAGCAAGCCGGTCAGAGAGCGTTGCCACCACCCCCGGGAGCCGGAGGAGCATCGGGAAGTAGTTTCGGTCGTGGAGTAGTGGGAGCTAGGCCACCAGGGAGAGTCTTCGTGATGGGGCGTTCGCAGGCAGAGTCTGAGGGTTTGGTGGAAGAAGAGTTGGCAGGTAACCCTATCCTAACCTATCCTTGTTTTTCACGAATATCGTGTTCTTTGTTGTCTTGAGTGTTAC